TCAATTCATTGGAAGTCTATGCCATCTGTTTATCCTCTCCCTCCCCTCAATAATGACATCCTGATGGCACCACTTTTGTTTCTAGACATCCAGAAATTCAACACGAGTGAGAAGTTTCTGGTTCTGAGAGCCACCCTTAATCTGAAGAACAATTTTAGAAGAAAACTATCACTTTTAAAACTAACTTCTCCTGCTAATTCGACTAGGGAAAAAAATAAGGCCCTGCAAATAGCAAAACCCTTCAAATGGGAGAGTAATTACCTTAAATTAAGCCTTATTTCTGGTTATAAAAAAACCCCAACAAAACAACAAACCAACAACCACTCAATTCTAAAAGCATGTTGGGCAGACTGGAAGCATTAGAGTTAAATACTGGCCAGTTTATAGTGAAAGGGAAAGGAAATAGCCAGGAGGAGGGAAGGAAGAAGAGATTAGAGAAATTGAGAGATGTAAATAGTCTCAGAGGAGCCACCATGTCCCAAGACCTCTCCTAAGGGAAGTTTTTACACCAAAGAATCTGGTAGCCTGAATAAAGAATGACATAACTTATTTATTTAGCCAGAGCTGAACTGTTTTCTTAATTGAAATAACCTCATGCCACAAACATTAAATTGTTGGCGAAGTGATAAGAATGTCTGTTTAATTTAGGGGCTTGATAACCATGGAATAAATACCCTTTTATTCCCTTGGTTTGAGGCTATATTTAAATTGGCTGGAAAGCCATTAACAAGAAATCTTAAGGTTAATAGTACAAACAGTCTGATGTGGGAGTCTTCAGTAGGGAGATGTGTGACTTTGGATTTGTAATTCAGTCAAGGAGTAAGTGCTACTTCCTCTTGAGGTGAAAATTATGATTATTAGCCTTGTGGACACCAAGAATAGAACGACATTTTCACATCCTGGGTGCTGTACAAATTCACAATTTCAATCTGAAGTGCAAGTTCTGAAGTGTTTTGACAGCCCTACCTGTATCAAATGGAATCTGAGCAGCCAATATGGGGCAAAAAAAGGGATTCACATCACACACTGTCTCACCTGAGATGGCTGAAGTGGCTGTACTGTGAACTTCATCACTGTGAACCAGTCACCCCTGGGAGAGGCAGGGTTGGGGTGGATTAAAGGCTTAGACACAAGTATTTAAGTACCCAAAATGACCCCAAGCTGAGTAGTGTGGTTGATACTCTGGAAGGGATGCCATCCAGAGGGACCTGGACAGGCCAGAGGGAACAGCCTGTGTGAACTTCATGGAGTTCAACAAGGCAAAGTGCAAGGTCCTGCACCTGGGCCAGGGCAATCCCACACCTGGCAATGGGCTGGGCAGTGAGTGGGTTGTGAGCAGCCCTGCAGAGAAGGACTTGGGGAAATCAGTGGATGGAAAATCTTGATGTGACCCAGCAGGGTGCACTCCCAGCCCAGGGAGTCAATCCCATCCCGGGCTGCAGGAAAAGCAGTGTGAGCAGCAGGTCAAAGGAAATGATTCTCCCCCTCTACTCCACTCTGTGAGACCCCAGCAGGAGTGTTGTGTCCTGTTCTGGGGGCTTCTGGGAAAAGCCCAGACCTCCTTGAGTGGGTCCAGTGGAGCACCACAAAGATGATCAGGGGGCTGGAGCACCTCCCATACAAGGACAGGCTGAAAGGGTTGGGGGCTGCTCAGCCTGGAGAAAAGAAGGCTCCAGAATTCCTTAGAGCAGTCTTCCAATGCCTACATGGGGCTGACAAGGAAACAGGGGGAAGGCAGGAAACATGGGGAAGGCCTTTGTATCAGGGGTCTAGTCATAGGATGAGGGGCAATGGTCTTAAATTGGATCAGAAGAGGGTGGGCTTAGGTTAGATTTTAGGAAGAAATTCTTCCCTGTGAGGGTGGGAGGTCCTGGCACAGGTTGCCCAGAGAAGCTGTGGCTGCCCCTGGATCCCTGGAAGTGTCCAATTTACCCATATATTGTGGTGTGGTAGAGATGAGATGTTTTGAAGATTCTCTTTGTGTCTGCTGTACTTTTATTTCAGAATTAGCAGGCTGTGTGCTAATTAGCAGGGTGTGAGTTTTACCTCTACTCAGGTTTTACTGATTACTCTTATTACCCTGTTTTCACAGCAAGAACTCGTCCTCTTAAAAGAACAGTGAAAGCTTTTAGGATTCAAAGAAATAACTGGTTCATGAAACAGTATCAGAAATGGTTAATAAAGATAGAAGAATCAGCACTGCATCCTTCCCTTTGGTCTTCAGGCACAGTATGTTTATTGTACTGAGAATAACATTCATTTAGGTATAAAAAAAATACAGCAAAGCATCATATTCCTAATTCAGTGAAATGGCTACAAAGCATCATGAGGTTTGTCCATGAAACTCTGCAGCTTGATGTTACAGCTCTCCAACATTTGGTGTCAAAACTGTTCCCACAGTTCCAGGAACAGGAAAGAAATGTCAATCCCTGTGTATATAACTGGAAAAAACTTGGTGCTGAACTGTCCTTTGATGGCTCTAAGATTGAAAGGGGAGCAGCTGCACTGTTTTGTACACCTAAACAACATCAGCTGTGTTGCAAGTTCTGCAACTTGTACTGGCTTTATTTTAAATGTTATTTTAAAAGTGGACTTTCTCTCCTTGCCTGTCAAGAGGTGTTCCAGATTATTCAAATTTCAGGTTACATCTGCACAGTATGTTCAATCCAAACTCAAGCTACACATAAATATGATAATTTAAGACTTTTGAGCCTGTTTATTATAGAGAAGATCTTCTGTGTGCCCATACGCTGCACTAATTTTGAGTGAAACAAGCTAATTATAAGTTGATGTCATATGGCTAAAAAAACAGGTGTTTATTCCTTCCATATTTCACAAGGCTGACTTTCTCAACCACACTTGCAGAACACAACATAACGTATTTTCTTGGCTTAAGACCTCACAGTGTAAAGTTATGTCCTTCGTTGTGCAATTTGTAATTAAAGAGTTGAACCTCACGCAAAATCTTTGGGATTCTGTGGACACCAGCAGGCTGTTTCTGCTGTCTGTAGGTTTATTTTTTTTTATTGAATGATAGTAGAATTGTATTTTTGCCAGAAAAAAACAAATAAAGTAGTCACACTGATTATTTTAAGTCTCCTGATAACATAAATTGCAGAAGTGGTGGTTGGAGGCAGCTGCTTCAGGAGCCTAATCATACATGGTGACTGCACTTCTCCTCCACTTTTATCCTGTGGTAAGAAACCAGTGAGAAGTCACTACAATCAGGAGGGGGGCTGAGAGGAAATACAGCAGTAAAAGTGCCTCGGGACTCCCCATCCCTTGGGATTCTTGTAAAAGCTTTTATAGCTTGGAAAGAACCAATCCTTATGTTGTAAAATCAGAAAACTGCAAGATTCTGAGTGGCAGCTTAAGAGCAGGAAACATTTGCACTTTTGGTAGACAAGAATGAGCAGGAGAACATGTTTTTTGGGGGGGGAAGAGGACACATTTCAGGTGAAATATTTGGGGCAAAGACATTGCTGGTTCACCTGAAGCACATCCTGTGCTCCTGCACTGCCTGAGAGCCAGGAGGGAGACTGAGATGGAGTAAGTCTCCCTCACTGGCTTATCACAGTCAACATTTTAAAACCAGTATTCCAGTATCTTTAGCTGCCAATGAGGCTGCAGAACAGAGGAACTGAACTCCTTTTCTCACTTCAGCAGTGCTTGCAGGTGTTCAGGCTGAATTCTGAAAACGAAGCCCCAAGTGTCAAATTCATGAAGTCAAAGATAGGTCTGGAAAATGATGTTGCAGGTATGACAAAGGTTTATATTAGGCTTTTATATGACATAAACTATAGCAGGGAAAGGAAACCTTATATGCTGCTTGTCTTGAAAAAGCTGTTCAGCTTTGCAGCTGTGTTGAAAGGTCTGCACGCTATGTGCAGTCCAAGCTGTTTTCCCTGACTTCACTGGAAAATGTTTCTTAAAGAATAAATGAAAATGAGCACAGGTCTACGACATTAAAGTGTAAAAATTTTTAACTCTTGCTTGGCAGCACTTGCAAGGGGATTCCACACTTGATTCTTTCTTTTTTTTTCCAATGAGAGGTATCTGAAGCAATCAGATTTCAATCAAGAAATCTTGATTGATAGTTCAAAGATTTCTTGGGGTTTTCTTGTGACTTTATCAGGTTGTGAACATATGAATCTGGAAATGCCACTGGGAGCAGGAGGGAAACTGAACTCAGCTAAGTTTTTCTTCCCCAGGGGAAGCAGAATACTCATCTGCCCAGGAAAACTTTTCCCATGAGAAACATCATCCACTGGAGCAAGAAGTTCCAGGATGGAGTTTCTTTAGAGATGTGTAGGTTATTAGAATTAAAGACCTTGACACTATCACTGAAATTGGAGTTGACACCCTGACTGTTCTGTAAAATCACTGGCTTTGCAGCAAATCAGCTTTATACTGGAGCTGAAAATCAATGAGTCTTCCTACAATTAATCGTTGTTTCTACTTTATTAACAATGTATTTAAAATTAAAAATAACAGACTAATATTTTTAAAGCAGTGTTACTTCTCATCTTCTACAAGGAAAAACATTGCATAAATAACTTCTGGGAAAAAAAATAAATATGTAATTCACTCTCTTAAACGATACCTTGTCTCTCTAGGTTCTGGTCCCACACAAAATAATTGAAAAATCTATCAACACCGTAAATTTCCACAGTTTATATGATTTCAGGATATTCTACCAGATGTATACAGTATGTGACAACTCACTTTCTAATAGTATTCTTTAATGTAAAAACACAAACACTAGTCTGAGTGTTGAGAAGCTAAGTAAAGGAAAGTTGCTGCCAAACTAAAGACTTACCAAAGCTGCATATACTAAAGACTTTTTCTAGAGGAATCCATGACTTCAAAATTAGCAGAGGCTCACTTTTAATGCAGAACCACCACCGTGTTCCCAGAGCTTGGCTTGCACAGTCTTAATGCTGCAAAACGTGTGGCCAGATAATCCAAACTCTACAGAATAGAAAATGTAAGTAGAGGTATCTAAGCTGATACTGAAGTCAAATGTGTTCTAGGAAATCAGGAATAATCAGTATCTTTTATGTTAAACTCTGCACATCTCTAGCTGTTTACAGGACAGACATCAGTGAGGTTATCTGGTTTGAGAGGACCATGCATTTCATGAATCTGCTTCACCTAGTAGAATTTGTTGAATTGTTCCTAAACCAAGCTGCTGTTTCTAAATCAAATATAGTTTTAGTTGCCAAATCTCAGTTTTGAATCTGCTGATCCTACAGTCTTTAGGGTAAAGGTGTGAAATAGATTTGTCACGCTTTTACTTGTGTTTTGATTTTTGTGTTTTGGAGGAAACTTCTGGTACGTGGGGACATCTGACAGAATGTTCATTTCCCAACAATTTGACTTCAGTCACCATAACTATTGAAATTCCTGCTATACCTAACTTTCTACAGCTTTTCCAGAGAGGGTGAACTCTCCTGATGCTTCCCTAATTGGATGCTTGTCCTGCATCACGGCACTTGTGTGGGAAAGGGATCTCAATGCTCTTTTCACTTGAAGTGAGTGGAATGATTTCTAGCAAAGCCTGATTGTCACCATAACTGCTTCCCTTTCCTCTGCCTGCCTGCTCATACAAGCCACACAACCTCGTGTGATTCTCCCACCCGCACCTCTCCTTTCAGACTGAATTAAGAGGTTGCTACCTCCAGCTTGGTTTATCTCATTTTCTTATCAGACCATAAGTGCTATAATCTGAAAGACTTTTTTTGCCTATGTGAGCATTTGACCCAGCTTAGCAGAAGGACTTGGAACCTACTGCAGTCAGAACGTCATGCTGTGGCCTCTGAGTGCCTTTGGACGGTTTTGCAAAGTATCCAGAGCTGCTAGTCTGTGTCACCCAGAGCCACCTCCTAATAAGCATTTTCTAACTCGTGCTGGTTAGATTTGCCGCTCCTGGCTCTGGACAGATGGGGCTTCTTGTTCTTCTGAGGCCTGACATTGTCCTTCCCGAAGTCCTTCAGCTCCGACTGGTTGTGGTAGCGGGTGTAGCGCTTGCACTTGCAGGAGGTGACGGCTCGGAATTTGTAAGTCCGAGTCTCTTCCTCGGGGCAGGACATCTGGATGCGGTGGGTGCGGGTGTGGGCGGGGATGCAGCGATAATCCAGGGCGTTCTGCCGCCACCACTTCCCCCTGCCGATGGAGTTGGGGAGGAGGTGAGAGGGGACGCACTGGCCGGAGCAGACGAGCTCCTTGACGGGCTTGACACTGCGGCAGGGCCCCTCCGTGACATAGCGGGTGGTTCTCATCTCCCTGCAGCTGAAGTCAGAAGCATCTGCAAGCAAGAAACACATTAATTACTTCTCTGTCTTTTGTGTTTCCACGGGAGATGTCCCTCTCTGAGGTAGACGCGAGCTAAATGTCTCGAACGGAAAGGTTTTCGGGAGAAATATTTCAAAATGCTCGCTCGTGCAGCTTCTGCTCTGATTATGAGACCCTCGAATGACATCATACAAATTTATGAATGAAATCTTGCCACGAGGTGCATTCCATGTCAGGGTTGTGCAGGGGGGGCAGTGGAGCTCCTGAAGTGCAGCCCCATGGGAAAATTTGATAGTTTTCTCCTGGCTTCATTTACCTGTGGGCAACTCTTTCCCCCATTTCTCTGGTTTAACTCGACTGACTTCAGATGTTGACTCCAGATTTAAACCCTTTTGCAACAAAGAAAGTGTTCCTTAAGTGAATTTTAGCTACCATAATCTGTTCCAGGTTAGAGAAATAGCAGGTAACAACAGCTCTAAGGAATTCCCACTGTTCAGACATTAGGTTTTCCAAGTTTACTGCTCTCTGGGATAATTCCACCTGTCCCACATAATTTCCTTCAGACAGCTAGAGGCACCTTCTGGCTGATTAGGAACTATACAGTTTCCCTCCCCCCCTTTCCTCTCAATGGACAGCTACAGGTAAATGAAACATTAGGAAACACGAGATTTTTTTAGCTTTAAGGACTTAGACAAACTTTCCAATTGTAGGAACATAACTTTTTCCGAAATGTCTCTTTTTCCAGATGACATGCTTGGCTAACTGACCTGTTTGGAAGACACAGAATTTGATATTTGAAAGTGTTTGTCAAATAACTTCATCTAGATGCACACATGTTAATGTTCTTCTCTTAGTCAAAAGGCCAGTTTTAACTCAGGAATGTTGCTTGTGGTGAAAGCCTTCCAAGTTCAGCTCCCAGAGAGAAGGCTGTGTTTGTTAGGCCCATTCTCCTCACTGTATGCAAGGTGCTTCCCTCCTTGGTTCAGCAAAAAAGAAGTCTGACCCTGAGTCATTAGTGATAGAACAGTATTTGGAGAAACATCTTAATTTTTGGTTTTCCTGTGAAGTACAGAAACAGGATTTTTGGTGCTCAGGTTTATGTTTGTCAAAGTACAGCTAGAAAGATTGTATTCTTTAAAAGTTTGAGGGACTGCATTAATGAAATTAAACAATCCTTGCCAGCTTTGACAAAGTAGTGACAACTGAACTGCATGTCCATGTAGCCTAATACTCCCAAGTTTCCTAAGCATTGAAGAAAATGATGTCTGTCTGCAAAAAATAATGCTTTGAATCAGGTGTATTGTACCACCATAACACATAGACAGGTACAATTAAATATACAATTAAATATACAGGCATTTGCCTCAGCTCTATAGGCTTATTTTCTGTGCATGTATGTCCTGTCCTGTAAATGTGCAGGTTCAACACAGTGCAAAATTATTCATAGGCTGATGCAATGTCATATGTTCCAGAAAGGTCAGGCCACAATTTTGATTTCTTGTGTTAAAGATGTTAAAATAAGTATGCAAGACCATTGTATATCTTGAATAACTGTCCAGTCTCCTTTACCCTTGACTTCTCGAGTAAATGTCCTTTCCACTTTGAAAAATATACACATATAAGTGGGATAGATTCCCATCAGTTGATGTCAGAGTAGTAAAAGGCTAAAAAATTAAGGTATTCAGATGTAACAACAAAACCAACCTGCTGTGACCAGGTGGTTGGTGGGGCTGACTGTGAGAAACAAGGTGCTCCCCCTCTTAGCAATGTAAGAATCTTCTAAACTCACACTCTCAAAAGCATTACTTTCTCTTCTAAAATATTGTTAGTACTATGGTTTTAAACACCTTCACTGGCAGCTCCAGCAGAAAATCACAATTGCCTTTCAGTTGTCCCCAGAAAAAGAAGGATAATTCAGATCTGCAGTGGAAAACTTTTTTAAAACTACCTTTCTCAGCTTGGTGTTAGCTCCTCATCCTCTGTCTCTCCTCACAAAACATGTGTTTTGCATCACTGCCAAAGCTGGATGTTTGGTCAGATGTGACAACATATTATGAAGCATTTTTGGCTGTTGGAGTCTTTTGGAAGATCTGGTTGTTAACAAAAGACAGAGAACAGCAGACTTCTCTCGTGTAGCTGAACACAACCTCCATGTGCCATTTTTGATGTGATCTCAGCCACAACTAGTGTGGGTCTTCCTAAATATTAAGAACTTGTATCTCCACTGTCAACCCATTCCTCCATCCTGACATTAAAGAGAGAAATTGTGGTATTTCCTCATGATGCTTGAGAGCACAAACCACAGAGAAATGTTAAATAACATCCACTACAAGTTTTATGTATTGGAGATTGCAGAGAGCAACTGGGCAGAGCAGGAATGTTCAACAGATAGACCATGTTGTCATCACTAAACTCCACACTATTCCTTCTAACCTTAATATTCATACTTCTTCAACAGTAGGTGTAAATCTTTATCACTTAAAGCATTTGGGCCACTCCTAAAAGTTTTAATAAACAAACATATAAAAAGTATTCTTTCACAAATTGTCTCTTAGGGTCCAAAACAGTAATAATGATATTTTTCTTACCGTTAGGGTCTGGAGCTTGCTGTATGTGTCTTCCTCCATGTTTTGCCTGATTCATTGTGTTGTTGTTGTTGCTGAAAGTCTGCTCCATCGGTGTCTCTGTATTCTCAGTGATTTCAGGAATGATTTCTGTAGCATCATTTTTAAACACCTGCCAGCCTTCCACAGATCGAAATGCGATTTGTGCCAAGACACAGACAGCGCACACAGCCCAAGAGATCTGCATGGTGGCAGCTCACAGACCAGCTTTTCAGCACCCTGACAGCTTCAGATCCAAGGCAAAGGCACATTATTCCCCTTTTTAAAATCCTTTTTAGAAGCAAGCCAGCCAATGACTATACGAAGTGGGAAGGGCCAGACCACAACTCATTCATCTCAGCTTTTGTCAGTGTGAAATAAAATGGGTGTGTGGGGGTGGGTTAGTGACAATATTCGACAACTCTTATGCAAAAACTTCTCATATTCACTTCATTTTTTGTGCCTGGCAACAAATGGTTGATTGACAAGCCTTGGATGAATTGAAACCCAACAAGTCTTTCTGCAGCTTTTTTTTCTAACAATGTTATAATTATAAACTGCTTCTACCTCCATCCATGTTTGAATTTTTGGCTATTGTGTTTTCCAAAGGTTTTTCAGACTTTTACTCTTGCTATTCCTGCTCCCCTTGCTCACTGTGTAAAGTGAGTAAATCTAGAAACTGTAGCTCAGGAGTTCTGCTTGTCAGTCTCTGCAGGGAAATGATTGGAGTTGGGGTACCTTTTTTTTTCCCTTTCCAAAACAAGTTGCTCTGCATTTTGCTTCACAAGTACAGTGGAAGAAACAGGGAAGAGCTTCATTTCAATGTGAGAAGCTGTTTTGTTTAGTTTTTCCTAAAAATAGCTATTTGGAATACGCTTTTCAGGGTAAACAGGCAGGATGTTGTACATCATATTTTTTGATGTGCTCTCTCTTACATTTTTAACACTTGGAAAAAACACCCAAAACAAACAAATGTTTGCATTTGCTTTAAATTCACTGCATATTACCACTTCTGCTGACATTCTATGCAAATGTTGAATACAGGACATTTTCTTATTTTAAACACAAGAACACGACCAGACTGATTTCCAATCGTGATACAACCAACAGAAAGAAAGAACTGATGACCTTTTGTCTGGGGCATCTGTGCCCAAGATGAATTCAGGTGTCATGTTTTAAAATCTCATCTGTGAGATTGTCTCTTCCTTATCTAATAGAAATCATGTACTGTGTTACATACAACAATGTACCCTTACTGTCAGTTCCCCTTTCTCCTTTCCCATCTCAGAAATTACTCTGTTTTCATGGAGGAATACAACATACTGTTTTCTTTTTACAAGATTTTTTCCTCCTCAGCCAATTGGGATATCATTCTTTAATACAGACTGCTGTCAAGTAATTTGCCTCTGATGTGCTGACAACAAAAACATCTCTGTATTATTATCACTGTGTTTAGCACAAATCCAGAACAGAGCCCCACAGCAGCTACTAGGAATAAAATGAACTGTACCCCAGCCAAAAGCAGGAAGGAAGGAATCCAAGAAGGAATCAGACACATTAGGGAGCAGGTCCAAGGGGTGAACTGGCACCATGTACTTTGCCTGAATCCACTGCTGCTGCATCTGTCCCAAAGTTCTTGCACTGCCAGGCTACAATGAAGGCAGGCACATCCAAACCAGCTTCTGAAGTTGGTTCTGTCACTTCTAACTTCAGGTGCTCACTCTGTCAACACCTGGGCCAAAGGGGTTCTGTTCTGTATCCACCCCCTGAGATGTGACTGTTCAATTTAAGTTTATCTGTGGTCAGTGGTTCATATTTTACACACTGCCCAGGAATTCTGCACTTAAGAGTTAATGAAGTTAGAAAGGGGGAGTGAACATTTCTTAAAGTTATTTCAAACTTAGAATTACAGCATCCAAATGCAGGACTAGCAGCCACAATATGTTTTATTGTAATTCCATTTTTGGATGCTAAGCCTGTGTTAGAACTGGACACTCTTTTCTCCTACAACATGATTATGCTTCGTGATGTGAGTGATGTGAGAATTAATTAATCTTCATAAAAGGCCTTGGAGATGAAAAGCACTGCGTGTAACAACACTGCAAGCTCTCTGAGTTGAAAACCAAATTTGTGTCAATATATCTTCCTCCTCCTCAGCAAAGAACAACAGCAGAAAGGATACTAGCCCAGTTTTTAACATGATAAAGAACTTATTTGCTTCTCAAACAGGTTTTTTTCTAAGATGCTGCTAAGACAGTCTTGCTCATGGAACTTTTATGTGCCTCATAAGAATTTTGCTGTGTCACATGCCACAGTGTGAATACAACAGCCTGAATGCTGTTGTGTGACCTCATGCAAGTAGCCAAGAATAAATGGAATCTTAGTATTCTCCCACCAGAGTCTGATAAACCATCCTGGTGGCTTGCCTTTTTCAGTGATAAGCATGCTCTGGACTCATACAATATTGTTCAGGGACTCAGTGATGACTATCCAGGGAAGAATAACAAGCCTATAGCTCCATCTGGTGAGTCAGCCAGCCAGCAACATGATCCATTAATGGAGCACTGCTCTGACATTCTAACTATTTTTAGCCTACTCTAAAAGCAGAGATAGAAATGGTTTAATTTCTAAGTTGCCTATCAGTAGTTTAAAGTAGGACATATTGTCTCAATTTGTAAAACCAATTTTTAATATGGTCTTATCCTTCTCCATCCTCATTATTACAAAACATTTGTTAAATCAATTTTATTATACTGAAACAAATGGGCCAGAGTACCACTGAAGTTACCACTAAAGTGAGAGTGTCCTATGAAATAAAAGAGTATCTTGAATATAAAAATTCCCCAGTGTCTTGATTTGTTCTTGATACTGACAAGTACAAAAATATTGCTGTAAGGTGAACAGACTCAATATTAATAAACCATTCTGGCTTTAATCTGACAACTCCTATCTTCTTACAATTTATGGAAGGGTAACAAATTTCTAATGCCTGATGGTTTCTTAGCTCTTTAATGGATTGGAATTATGACTTCCAAGTAACAGGCAAAAGACAAAGTGACTGCACATGAATCTCCATTTTTTCCCTTGCAGTGCAGATAGGTATTAAGAATACACGGTGTGAGACAAGACCACAAAAAATAAAAATCTATGCTCATAGTCAAAATTTTAAAAGGATAATTTATAAATAAGACTGCAGTAGGAAAAAGTCAGTATTGTAGAGAAGATAAGGCCAGTGTTCTATTTGCCAACCCACCCAGCATGAAATCAATAACTAGGAATTTTGAAGAAGCAATTAATTTAATCCTGATAAAAGGGGAGACAGCAAGCAGGTATGTAATTAGCTCATGGAACTGATTATTGCTCATTATTACTGAATCATCCTGATTCAAAGCAAGCACTGAATACTGACTGTAGAGGGGTGATAGGAAACATTATGTAGAGTGTTCCCCACTTGTCACTTTAAGGGACACAAAAGAGAAAAGGTTACTTGATTTGGCAGTTCCATCCTGTTCAAGGGAACAGAATAAGGCTGGTCTTCAAGCAGAACAATCACCTCTGGAGTTTAATTTCAATAAAATTACACAGAACTTTCCCTTGCCACTCCCCCCTCCCCAAACCACACAACCCCAATAACCAGAAGTAAACAATGTATGATCTTTGTGATTTTTGATTACTGAACTGAGTAGACAAAACTAGCTCTGGGGTTACACGTGGTACTAACACAAAGAGTGTTTCTGTTTAAAGCAGGGTTAAGATTTTTCAGTCTGGAACTACATTAAAGCACAGGTTAAAGGGGAACACCCTGGTTTCTGTTAGTTTAACCAACAACTCTGAGTTTGCAGTGGGAGATCCTTTGCATTAATACAGTCCTGTAACTCACAGGTACATATTTAAACACTAAGTCAGGCACACTGTAAACAAAGCTCCCTCTCCCAACATTGCAATGACTCAGCTCATCTGTATGCCAAACAGAATCCAGACATCGTTTATTTTAATAGAAAGTAAATATTTCCTATACACTGTGGTACCTTACAATTCTCATTTCTGTTTAATGACACCATGTAAGCAATCTAAGAAGTCAAGAGTATACTTCTGCAAACTGCTTTGAAAGCACACCTGTGCTGCCCTACTGGAAGTGTGTGTGCTCATTCTATTCTATGTTGATAAACAGTGATAGTAAATAAGGAATAAAGACACTTTGAAAGCCATCACATTCTGATACTTAGGACTTTATCATACATCCAGTACAAGCACTTCTAAATACAAACATTTCTTCCTTGCTCAAGTCTTTTCCTCAGCATTTGCTGTTGACATTTTTTCTAGTATGACTTCAAAACAAAAATAAAAGGGCATTTAATAACACACTATTTCGTGTCAATCACAAGAGGTACAACTATTCTTGGAAATACAGTGTGCATCAAGAATGGGCTCTGAATGGCTTTACTATCACACACTGTGTATTGCATAAATCCACACTAAACATTGCATACACTTCATTTTACAAACCAGTGCATCTGTGCATAAATATATACACTTCTCCATTCCTTTCAGCTCCTACATTCAAACATCAGGCACCTCTGTGCACGAAAAAGAAGCTTTAGAAATTACAGTGCTTCTTTTAAGAGTGAGTGAAGAGACGTGTTGGGGCTTTCAGAAACTCGTGCTCTGGTGAGACACAAGACAAAGCTGAAATGAATCACATTCAGTGTCAGTGCAAACCACATATGCTATGGAGTCTTCAGGGGCCCTGACATACATGTGAAGATAACTCGAGTGGTAACAGCTATCCCTCTGAAAACACCTCTTTATTGCAACAGCTCCAAACGGTGACACAATTTCGTGCGCCACCTCGAAAGGCAGTCCCGGAGTTCACCGGACGAGCAGGAATTCTGTCTCTCTTTAGCTTGGTGGTTGGGGTTTGGGGGGGTCTCTAAAGCACCTAAGACGTCCTCTAAAGGTTTGAGAAACTTAAAAAAAAAACAAAAGTACTACGGCGCTCTCCCCATCCTAGGGTTTCAGTTTGCCCTCCTTCAGCAGGCGCTCGTTGAGCTGGCAGAGCTGCCTCAGGAAGCCGTCGTTGGGGCCGATCTCCCGCTTCTGGCGGACGGTGCAAAGGGCAGTCTTGACGTCCATGTTCTGCCGGAGCATGAGGTAGGCGATGACCAGCGTGGGGGAGCGGCTGTAACCCTCCCGGCAGTGCACAAACAC